TGGCCTCGTCACAAACCGCTTTGGTCTCATATGCACCTTGGATATATATCCACAAAGTGTAAATAAATACAAATACATTTCAGATGTTTTTACCACAAGTAAAATGGTTTGATCTCATCAGCCCAGGTCAATATATTTTACATTTCCCTGCTTTAAAGTGACCATTTCTTGCTTTGCTATGCTTCGCTTCAGCCTTCTTGATCTCTTCAGCAGTTATGTCAAGCGCTTTCCCTCTGACTGATTATCGCTGCCTGCAAAGTGCTGACTGAGACATTTCTCCTTTAGGGATGCCTCATTTTCAGTGGGATGCCAGTGAGAAAAATGCCAGACATCCCCAGCTGATTATGCTTGTGCGCTCCTTGCCGACTGCACGGCAACTTCTCAGTTTGCCTGTATCGAGGGCCCATCTTGATTGCGCTCCAAGCAAATCCTTGGAGATTGGGCTGATCAGGTTCACTAATGGTCAGACTTCTCTTGGTATTTGCTTACATAACACTATCGGAACACATGTCTTAAATATTTTATCAGCTTTAAAGGGTCGTTTTCATAACAAGGCATTGTATTGCACTGGGGAAGAGAGATTAGGTTGGAGAATGGATGCTCTGCTATACCCTGTAGGAAAAACAATAGCTTTGGGCATGTAACCTGTGTCACTGGCTGCCTTGTCAGTCTATTAAAGACACATTTTTCCATTGCAAATAAGAGCAGCTTCACAAACGTGTCCAATAAAAATCTTTTGCAGCAATACTCTGCAACAGCACACTAGGTGATCTCAACAGCTGTCTAATTGTTTGCCTGCTGTGTCCCCCTCTAATATCTTCCCTGACCTTTAAGAAAGTATTTATGTTGCTTTTCTCTTCAGAGTTGAATACACATACCATGCAGCCGCTGCCAGCCATGTTCTCGTTTAAAGCCAGAGGTTTCATGACAGCTGTCTTATTCAGTGACTCCGGGGCTCTTCACCGATCCAAACTACTCCATTCAAAGCTTTTGTTCAAAGTTTCCCATATTTTTCCTTTGTGGGACACTCTGCCCTTCATAGCTCCGTGATGGGGGAGAGGTGGGGAAGTCAAACACGGCAAACTCATATTCCATGGTTGTATGAACAAAACAGCTTCATGATATGTTACTGGCCTTCAAAGACCATTCATCTGTTGCATTTCTCCACTGTTTTCAATGGCTAAAATGGCTATTAACTGTTTCTGTAAAGAACTCATCTACACAGGAGATCCAGAGCCTTTTCCACACCCTGTACCCTTAAGCACTGCTCTCATATAACCAGTGGGGAGCTGGAACTTTAACTGGGTGTGGTCCTATACATAATGGGTGGGTTTGCATAGCATAACACCCCATGGTGGTTGTTTTAACCACTGTTGTGTCATTAGGACCCCTCAACAGTTGATTGTTTGAAACCAAAACCAGAAACAACAGTCTGCTGTTGTTCATGGCTGTTCAATACTGTTCATGGCTGTTCAATACTACAATACTTTCCAGTGTTGTCAGAACCCATAAAATACAAAGGAACGCCACTGACAGCTGCTGCTTTGTACCATTGACAGGACTGTCTCTGATCTACCTGCCTTTTACCCTAAAGATCTTTGCAGAAACGGTAGGTGCTCAGCGGTGGGAAATGAGCAGTGCTGCTCAGCTGATTCTCTGACTGCCCCTGTGGGGTACACCAGAGGGAAGCCCCATGCAAGAGTGAGCAGGAGAGGAGAGAAAAAGCTGATGCCTGTACTGCTCAGCTGATTCCCTGCTAATCCCCACTTTTTGCTCCTGCTTGCAGGAGAGGCATTTCCCAATCCAGTGCCCAGCCAAGCACCTTTCTCATGTTCATTTGCACAAGGAGCTTCCCCAGATGAGTGACCATTCAAGCACCTCATGTAGGCATGTCATGAGTGGAGCTGGGGGTCAGACTAGATGACCTGGGAGGTCCCTTCTGACTCACTCTGTTTCTGTGTTCTAAGCAGTTTTCTGGCAAGCTGCAGAGATGAAGGCAGGCCCTCCTCCCGCCATCTCATTCCTGCTTCCCACAGTTGCGTTCCAATTCGGGTGAGGACAACTCTCTGGCAAGTGGGAGAGGCAATGGGGGCTGGTGGGGGAACCAGCTGAGGTGCACAGCACTGCACCAGGTCCAACCACCCAGCTGAGTCCCAGCCCTTGCATTCATGCATGAGCGGGGCTTCCCTTGGGCACGGGCCAGAGGAGCAGTGGGGGGATCAGTTGAAGTGCATGGCATTGCTGCTCAACTGCTTCTCACTCCTCCTCATGCATGAGAGAGGTTTCCCTCTGGTGGGCATGTGGGAGAGACAGAGGGGAAATCAGCTGCTCCTTTCCATAGTGCCGTCTGGCTGATGTCTCCCCGTTTTGCCTGAGTGTGGATCAGGCACTCCCCTCCTGCTCCAGTGGTCCCCTCTGGAGCCAGAGATTAAGGTTCCTCCACCAGCTCCTTTCTCTTCCCTGTTGCACTTCAGGGATGAACCCTGTTGACTGCGCCAGACGCAATTTATCTCTGGACTCATTTCTGCAAGTTGCTTTCAACCTTTCAATTGCACAGCAAGATCTGACATAAGGAGCCGTTTCTTCTGCTATGAACCTGTTCCATTATTAAGATCTGGAGCCATGGTCTGCTTGTGGATACCATTGCCTGGAGAGGCTTGTTTGTGATGCGAAAGGGCTTCCCATTACTATGTTATTTACAGACAGTAGAATGCAGTCTTTCAAGAGCTATGATCGCGGCCCATTCTCATGGCTGTTAGAAAGGGTACAAAGACACATCTTTTTAATTTAGACTTTTAAATTATGTAGCAGTTGTAATGTTTCTAATGTGCTTGTTTTGACTGCATTAAGGTTTTATTGCTTTAAATTGTGTACTCTGCCTAGATGGATTTTAAGCAAAGTATACAAATGTTAATAATAAATAAATAAATAACTCTGGACCTGATCCAATAGAGTGAATGTTCCCCCAGTACACCAGTCCCCCAGACAAAAGCAAGCATGGGCAGCAATGCGTTGCTGATCTCAGAAGACCTGGTAGATCAGGAGTACCCAAGAGGCAATGCTGGGTGAGAGTGCTATGCCGGATCATCTTGGGGAGCAATTCAGCTCAGAGGGGGTGCTTGCCTTCCCAGATACCTGGACAGGTTTAGGATCTTTTGCTGTGGCCTAGCACACACTGCTGTGAGAGAACACGCCCTAGCTTTGCATCATCACAGACACACAATGTGTTTCAGAAAACAAAAGGAGAGCTTATTCAGAAGGAAATATAGAGCTGGGCACATCTTAAGCTGATGTTGTCCAGGCAGCAAAATCCAGTTGCTTCCCCGTCTCACTCTATATTTGTAAAGATGTAGAGAGCTTATTGCCTAATGGCCTGGTAGATAGATAGAAGCTAAAAGAAGAAGAGAGGATGTCTAAGGCTATTACCTGTCTGTCAGTTGTCCTGCATGCAACAGCAGCCCCTTGCATGGGCAGGAAGGGGTGCAAGCAGTCCAAGTTCCAGGCTGGTTGTCAGCTGTGTATTCAGAGCTTCCTCACTCCTGTTTGCTAAGTCCCTGCTTCTTATATGCTTTCCCTGGCACTTGTTTCTATGGGAGTGGAAAAGTCCCCACTGTTCTCCAAACTCATGCTAATTGCTTGGTGGTGCTCGATTGCTCTTGATGAACTTAGCTATGTTTGTTGTTTTCTGTGGCTAAAAAGGCATGCTCTTTGTCTGTGGTTGCTGGCTGCTAATGATGGGGGTAATTCCAAGTGTAAGCGCTCACTCAGAACAATAGTAGCCGTCCTTTGCAGGGCTATTTTGCCTCATCTCCTCAAGGGGAATCCCTTCAGCTGATGCATGGCCTTTTCTCCCGGAGAAGTCCAGTATTCATCATTTAACCTTCATCTCATTCACATTGAGGAGACCAAGTCATTAGGCCTCTCCTCCTGAACTCAAGCTTGCCCCAGTGTGCCCCATGGCTCCTTCTTAAGGCACTGGCATATAACCAACACTGCATGGTTGTGCTGTCAGTTATATGCACAAGCTGCAAGAGATGGGTAGAGAAAGAGGAGATGTAATCTCCACAAATGGATGCTGCGAAGTCCATAGAGTTACTTAGTCCACTGCCTTTTTTCCCAGTGCCTAATCAGGGGCCTTGGAATGAGGTAAGGCAGGTATTCGCTTGCCATGCCTGCCTTACAAATATTGCCAGGGCTCTCTCCTTGTTGGTAAGAGGCTGAAGACAGAGAGATTAGGCGAAGGAGGGACATGGAGGGATTAAGCTGAATCACTGACTAAGCTAGGGAGGCACTTCGTTGCTCCTCACTTATTGGCAAGGCTGAGCGCTAACCAAACCACGGCTAAGACGCTGGTATTGGGTGTTGTGGGAAGCATGGAAGACAGAGCTGCCATCCTTGATCAAGCAGTCGCGGATGGTGTGACTGGCTACTATTGCTGATGATTTCATGAACTTTCACTGCAGTGCACCAGCAAAAAGAAAGTTAGTGTTGAAACTAATGGAGAAAAGGGACACATAACATGTTGTTCCTTGATATTTGATGACTGAACCACAGGAACTTCTCATCTTAAAAAAGATGCTCACCCTGAAAGGGCAAGGGAGAAGAGGTGGAAAGTGCTATCTGTGTGCAAGAAATGGAGGAAGGGACCATATTTAAGGATATGTAATAGGAGTGCAACAAGGGAAGAGCAAAATGAGTGTATCTCCTCTGTCGCGCTGCATCAATAGTGCTTCAGAGTCCACATGGGCAAGGTTGATTTGGAAAATTTCAATTTAAAATTAAAACAATCCAAGCATCACCATCTGCAGTTAAAAAAGAGGGAGACATGAAAAATGCTAGAATGCAATAGTATGGTGGCTCTTTTACATGGAAACTCTGATAACTGAATGAATGAATGCTGTTCATTCCAGGGAACACAGTTATGGATGAAGCAACCTGATTACCACTTTTATGTTTCTTTTCTTCTGCTAGGACATAAAGTGGAAAGTGCAGTCATGAAATTGCATTTGAGTGCTTTATTATACTGGAATTGCAGTGATATTAACATTTGTACAAATGCACAAAATCTCTCCTAGTTAGAAAGAGATGTAGACATCGGATCTAGCTGTATAATCTCAATGAACTCATTATGTAATAAATGTGTTCACAATGCAACAAAAGAAGCTTAACATAAAATTAAACATATTAAAAGCAACGGCAGCAGCACGTATTTACAGGTATGTATGTACCAATTTTGTTTCTCTCCTCCCAGCAAGGGAGGTGTTGTTGTTTTTTACATAATAAAACAAATACAAAACCTTTGCATACAATACAAAAACAGGATCGAGCCCCAGTCCTCACAACAGTATCTTTATTCCCCTGTAAAATTCCATAGTGCCCATTCCTCCCAGTGCTAAGTGTTCCTTTTACAGATCAACAGAATTGAATAATAATACCCCATAGAAGCAACTTACACTGAACAACCAGTGCTTAAAATGGAATAATTTGAAGGGGTGTGAGGTGGGAGAGGGGAAGCAAACTAAAGCAAGTCTCCAGACACCTTGAAGCAGCTGTTATGTTGCTTTCTATGCTGCTACCCTGACTCGGATAGACGAGAGGCGCTGTCTAATAACAGGCTTGGCAGCTCGCAAATGCAACGTGTTTTTCTGCCCCCATCAGATTTTTGTTTTTAAAGTTTGGACAATAAAATTCCCATCAGGGTGAAGTGATTCATTGCACTACAGAATTCCATTCCTAAAATCAGCACCTCACATTCAGCCAATCCACTGTTTTGTTCTTCAGCATTTAAAAAAAATGCCAATAGCTGTGAAGGTGCGATCAGGTGTGGGATGGTAAAAGGGGGAATCAGGGAACTTGTTCACAACTCTTGATTCAGTGGTGGTGGGAAGCCAGTGGGCTTGGGTTTTGCTTCCACAGGTTTCAGAAGAGACAGTCTGAAAGGAACCTCACCTCCACCCCTAGGTTTTCTTCAGTTTTATAATTTACACAGAAATAACTTGCAGCTCTGTGGACTTGAGATACAACACTATGAAACAACCCCTTGACACAGGAAGAGGAATAAAATGCTCCGAAACAGAACTGCTTCAAGAAACAAAATGTGAAATGTTTGTTTCAATAAACCAAGAATTTACAGAGGGTGTATTCCACATATCACAGGCATTTTGTGTAAACCGATTGGAGCATAATGTTCAGTTGTTATCCAAAGAAAACTTGGAAAGCGATCAGGTTTCCACTCAGGAGAATTAATCTCTAAGCTCTACACGAACGTTTCAGATTTACATTCTCTCCCCCCCCCCACCCCACCACTTTCCTCTCTCCCTAAGTGGTACACAGCAAGAGTAAAATGTCAGAACTTTTCACATATTTCTTCTTCCAATATGTGTATTGATACACAGGCAATAAGTAAATATATGGGTTAGATACAGACTCAGAAGGCCCACTGAAATCAATGGGAGAATTCACAACAAATGTTGGACTCATTGATCTCAATGGGTCTACTCTGTCTAAATCTGGATCTGACCCTATAAGCACATTAATATTTACTCCTAATAATGTTCAATTGTCAATATGTTAGTAGGCATTAGTCATATTTTTTAGTGGGGAGGAAGTGAAATGACTCCCAGAAGGAGGTTGATGCCACACTTGTGAAAATGTTGCTATAAATGCATTACTCACTGTCAAAGAAGAGTATAAACAATCATACATCTTTGCCTGTAGGTTTCATAAGACTGGACTTTTTAACATTTTAGCCTTTTAAATATGCATGTCTTTATGTTCCTACACAAGAAAAATATTAAAAGGGTGCAGTTTTCCATTCATCTACAAAGTTATGAGATATTAACACAAAATCCTATGCATATCTAGCTAGACAAAAGCCGCAGTGATTTCAGTGTGGATTTACTCCCAGGTAAGCAGTAGGATTTCAGTCTAAATGAATTTAGTTTTAGAATGGATTTCCAGCTCTGCAGCTATTACAGGTTGGACAATATTTCAAGAGCAGCTTAATGGAAGAAAGGCAATCGTCTGCCCTGTAACATATGAACACCGTTTAGGCCTGAACACATTTCAGACATAATCTGGATTTACGATCCCAGAGAACACTGGTAATTGTAGTGTTGGAGAGAGTGCTGCGGACCTTTATTGAAGAATTAGTAGCATCCCTCCAAACCACAGTTCTTAGGAGTCTTTGGTGAAAGCCATCTCAGTTCAAGTGGTGTGAAAATGACATATCTTAAGCATATACATATATATATTATAAATCTCAGGATAACACAAAAGATTAGAAAATTAGATGAACTGGGCATGCGATTTGAAACATACTGCTAACTGGTTTTTCCTTCCTCTGAGTCCCATTTTGAAGCTAGTGTGAGAGACAAGGTAGAGAATGCCACCAGTTAAAGCACCATATGGTATCACTGGCCAAAATTCTATAAGGGAAGATGAGAGGCAGCTAAAGTGCAATCTTCAAATAATATAAATAATTGAAATGAAGTAAGATGCTAATCAGTTTCCATTCTCTAGGCGTGGTTTTAGCATTTGTACAAATTCAAATATTTACTTCCCCTCCCCACCAGCCTGACAGATTCCCTCCCACCCCCAAACACAATGGCGCTTCAGTGGTTTAAAGCTACTGAACACTGTTTAGTTTAGGACACAAGAAGAACCAACAAGGCTGTTTTAGTGCAACTCACTATATGATATTAGAAAAGAAGCAAGCACTGAGCAGGATTTCCACTGGAGTTGCTGATCAAGAGCCTATTCATCAAGGCAGCTTTCCAGTTATATGGGTTATGTCCCTTTAGCAGGCCTGTGCACGAAAACGAAAGAACTGTATGTTTGTACACTTTGTTGTCATTACGAAAAGCAGATGCTGCTTTAAAGAAAATACTGAATTCTGGACATTTCCAGGTAGTAAACCTCAGCAATTGTTCCATCCAAGATGGATAACTTTTGCTTGAGATCTACAAAGATCTCTATTTTTTATATATATTTATATATTTATATATATATATTTACATATACATACAATGAGAGTTGTGCATTGCAAAACTAACAGAACAATCCACCAAGAAATCATGCCGCCACTTCCAACCTCTGTTTTTATTTCAGCAAGGCTTGCATGAGGTTAAAGGTCATAAATGAAACTGTACAGCAGCTGTCGCTGGGTGGATTACTTCCCATGAAAAATACAAACAGATTCTATATAAGAATGCTGTTTAAATGGAATGTTAAAAATAACATTTAGTAATAAATACTTTATAAAATTCTATGTGAATACTAAATTAATAGATTCCTGTTTTGTTTTAAAATTTCACTTTGGTCCTCATGAGTTTCCATAAATCCACTATATTTTTTTATTTTTTATTTTTTGTAGAAAAAAGTTTTGTTGGCTAAAAAGCAGATTCTAATTAAAAGGCCTTACACACATGCACACACTCACACACACACACACATCCACACTAAATATTGTTGCTTTAAAAATATAAATTCCCTCCAAGAAAAGCTTTTTACAGTTGTTGCTAGTTAGTGAAGAGAAGAATAGTTAGGTCAAAACAAATGCCAGTTTTGATGAGCCACCATTCATTTTGCAATATTAAAAAAACAATCAGCCACAAAAATACTTTTACTTCAATGGCATGAATGAGCATGCAGTAAAAGCTCATCATCATTAAAACACACCAGAATACCTGTCTCCCTCAGGTTGCATTATTGAAATATGGCTTGCAGAAAAACACATGTACCATAGACCTTTTGTATTGCAATGCAGCCCTTTAGGATAAGTATTGCATTGAGCAATGTTTGGAATTTCCCCTAAAATTTCAGTATTGTACAGTAAGACAAAAGCCCCAAACCCGAAGTAGGCCAATGTGATTAGGTTCTGTTTGGTTAATTCTCAGTGAAATGGTTGGAGTGGAATCTTTTTAATTGCTTATGGGAGCACAGGGTGGCCACCTATGAATGACCAAGAAAGAGGAAATGAATGACCAAAAAGACCACAAATGAGAACACAGATCAGCACAAAAAGTATGCATGCTGTTTATATGTCTAGATGCACACTTTGAAACAATTAGTATATTCTTAACGAGAAATCCAGTACACATCACTATTGGGAGATGTGACTAGGTGTCCCAAGCTGCTTTCCCTCCTTATAATCCCTTGACTTGAATCAAGCAGGAGAACCCTTCAAATATTGGACATCTTCAGATAGAACAGTGGTGGGCAGAAGACATATTAGTATCTATTGGTAGATCTCTAGGTAATTTACCCTACACTGGACAAGGTTTCCATCTCCAAGAGTTCAGAAATAACAAGAACTTGGCCATTCTTAAATCAGGGAAAAATTTTGCGGGGGGGAAACAGGAATAGATTTGCATGTGGAAAAGGAGGAGTTCCAGTTCTGGCACTGAAAACAAATTCCTGAAGAGACCATGGGCTCAGAAGAGACACTTTGTTCTACAAATCTATACTGCATTTGGTTCTGGTTGGTGGAGTTCAGGGTAGAACCCCTAAGTCTGCTCAATGCTGAAATAGGGGACAGTTCCTAGGCAGCCTGCCAAACTGAAAACTGGCCTTTGTAGAAGAGTCCAGCTTTCCAGAGCAGTGTTTGGATACAAGGTTTGCAGTCAACAGGGAAGTGAAATGGGACTGTAAGGTAATCAGCCTCCAGTTGTAGCACACAGCAGTTCATCTACAGATTGTTAATGAAGGAAGTTGACCTTTTTTCAGCTGTTCCCTATCGAAATGTGGAGAAGGATTGTGCATGTGCAAAAGAGTTCTCTGTTTAAATAAAGTAGAAAGGAATAGAACTATTTAAAGCCAGGAAGTGAAGAGTGACTTACATACAATAATAACACAGCAAAATATGAGCAATGTAGTGTAGAAAGGGCTCTACATGACTTTGCATTTTGATGCACCCGAGTATAGTTAGCCTCAGCTAGCAGTAATCACATAAGGCTGGATCCAGAAACAGCTAGACTTAGAGTAGACCTACAACTTTTCTTAGTCGTAGCTAGAGCCCCATGATTCTCAGTGCATCAATGTTAAGAGTAACTAAATCTGGATTCAACCCATAACCTTTCCCATGGATGCATTACATTTCTCATTTATGGGATATGAAGTATAATTGTGAACATCATAGGAGAGGTATAATTGTGAAGCTGTAGGGGAGGGAACCCTCTTGTTCATGGGAAATACTAAGTTCTTCCAGTTTGCCAGAATTAATTTTCCAGCTGAGAAAAACACAAGTGCATGCGTGTCATAAAAGAGGTTCCAGCTTAAAAAAAACCTCATGCTGCAATAAACATATTATTCTTTTTGGTGCCACTTGTCCTTTGCTATTTATAATCCTATCAGCTTTGTTGTCAAGCATATGCAGTGCCTACTATATTAACTGAACAGCTAAGTATTTAAATAAAGGTCCAAGCAATGGACAAGGCAAACTTTCATCATTTTACAGTTGAATACTAGGCATGTCTACCCAGAAATACATCCCATTAACTTTAATGGGGCATAGTCATTAAGTGTGTGTAGAATTTCTGCTTTCATTCTTACTTGGAAGTGAGTCCTACTGAGCTCAACTGGCTTGAAAGCAAAATATATGAACTCCATTCCAGTGTCAGTATTGTACGATGTATAGGTCCTTTTCCATGGAAATTTTAATGCCATGGAAGCTATCTTTTAGAATAAATAATACAACTGAAGGCAGTCAGAAATGCCTTTTTCAGCTGGGCAATTCCACCTGTTGTTGCTCTGGGAAGTAAGAGTGTCTTTGAACAATCCTACTGGCAGTCTAAAGGAAGTTTCAAGCCCTGAGTGAGTTCAGAACACTGCATGCTCAAGATAGAACTTTATCAAGTAGACCTCACCATTTACTTCAATTGAGGAGGCAACTCTACAGACGTATTTTTTGTTGATGTCTCTTCTGCTAAAATAAACAGGGAAACCCTTTTAGACTGGAGAACATACAACTATCAGCCAGGTATTTTGTGCTTAAGGATAAAATCATATGCATGATTAAACCAAAAATGTTCTACAACACTTAGGATTCTTCTACCCAGCCAAGTTTGTAGGAATTTTTCTGAAGTTTGTAGGATTTTTTCTGACTGAACATGCATAAAATTGCACCCTTAAAACTTTATATTTCATCTAAATTTCCTCATTGTTTGGAATTAAAACAAATACTTCAAAACTGACATGTGTCATAAAATTTCCTATATTGACATCTAAATAATTTAATATTTTTTCAAAAATACAATAGAAAAAATATCTTACATTCCCAACTTCTGTATTGCCTGCTATTTGAGTTTATTACTGAAGTACAATCTTTTTTGTATTCTTAGTGGCTACTCTTTCCTTCCCCATCACTTTGCTTAAAATACATTATATACTAGAATAATGTAATACTTAGAGAATGAATTCATCTGCTAGAAATAAGTTTTACTACTTTGGTCCCAATCCAGTTAATGTTAATTTTGACATGGAATACAATCCTAAGCAAGTTAAAAGGGCTTTGTCCCTGCAAAATATGAATAGGATTGCAGCAGAAGAGAGAAATCCAAGAAGAGAGCAATCCAAAGTGCGGGGGCTGGAAAATGCAGTGGTGGGTGATATAGTCCTTCCAAGCCATGTGGGATTGCAATGCCTGGGACAGTTTTCCTTCAAAGATTTCAGCAGTGGTTCTCTACTTATTTAGCATTTCTCCCTCATTGCTTTCCATGGGGGGCTGAGTTGTGGAATTACTATCTTAGATCCAACTTGTCATCATTGAAAGGTTCAATCCTGAGGCTTTTCAGAACAAAAATGGAGCTTTGGCTCTAGCCCATCCAGGGCCACCTCTGCAATGTTTCAGAGCTACCACTGGCAGAAATAGGGTGGACGGATCTTCATCTGTACGGTCCAGGGTCCCACTGTGGTGGATGTAATTTCACCCTCCTGCACAAAAATTAGGAGCAGCCCTTCTGTGACTTCAGGTGCTCTTTCTATCTACTAGCCTGAGCACACTTTTCTGGCAATATGTCCCATTGGTTCACAATGGAATTTACTTAAAAGACACATCCATTTTTTAGGATCTTTCCATGGAAAGCACTGGGACTCAAGTGAACCATGCTCAGCCATGGTTTCCACAGTACTTTGTTGCAGCTAACCCACCCTTGGACACAGAAGAAGAAAAAAGAGTATTGCTCCTCTTAAAAACATCTTTTGGAATAATTAAGCAGAGTGATTCCATGAGTATGATAATTTGTCAGGAGAAATATCAATAGGATGTTCATACTGAATGGACACTCATTAAATACATTAAAAAGAAAGAAAAACAGAAAAGAGAATTGCCCAGGTAAATGGTAGAAAGCTGGCAGTTCAGTTTTGGCAAATCTTGTATTTGTTTCAACTACATATCTAACCCATTGAACAATAATAGCTACAAATCCCTTTGCTCAGTCTCCTATGTGCTTTTTCCTGAAACATCTCTCCTCTCTGCCTTAGCACTCAAGATGAGATTTGTATTATACAGCTGTGTTCAGATATATAGTTTACAGAGAATCATAGTTTCCCATTATGGCTGGATATGGACAATCGTAGTTTCTTTTGGAGAGCTTCAGGGTCATGCACCCTTTTCTCCTTCCCCCTCTATGCACCAGGAGGAAACTGAAAGCATCTGCTTTTGATTGTCAGCTAACAACAGTTAGTTTCAACTAGGGATCTATGAATCAGCAAAATCTAAGCTCGCCAAAGTTCTTCAAATTCCATCTCAAAGCTCATTCCAACTTGGATCTATATCAGATTACAAGTGTTGTTTATCTTTATGCACAAAAATCCGTGCATATTTTTCCAAATGAACACATCAATTATGTGCATCTCTGAAGCACAGACATTTTCCCATTGATAAAAGTACATTTCTGCACATTTTTAAACAGTAATCGGTTTCTCATGTTTTGCCAATGTATGTATTCTGTAAGATGCATTTTTACTGGCCTGCAAGCTGAGAAATATATGGCATTTGACTACAAGTTCTGTTTAGTCCACAAGTTTAGAAGTGGGTAAATTTAGATTATAAAGATCCAAAATAAGTATTTCATTCATCCCTAAGTCAACTAACAATTCAGGGAGCACAGTCTGAGAAGAAATCAGGATTGGAAACCACATTTTGCATGGCTTGTAGATACTAACTTTAATTTAACCAACCAAAGTACCACGAGTTCAGGAAGCATGAGGACTTGTGAGCAGTTAAAGAAGTTTTTGATCCCTTCCTCTGGCACATGAAAGAGGAGGAGGAATATGAGGCTTGCTGTGGCTCAGATCCATGACTACAGTTTCCCATTATGCTCACATCTAAGCCTGCCCTATCCAAAGTTTTCCCTTTCCCACACCAATAAATCAAAGTTTGTGAAGTTTTTCTGACATATTAGAGCAAAGCCTTAGTTGCTAGGAAGCCATTAAAACCAAAGGAAAAATGATGGCTTGCTAACATCAAGCTACTTATATGCTTTAGACCAAAAACTAATTGTTAATGGCAATTAACACTTTCAACTCACATGTCACAACTGTTAATTTTGTACCTTGCAATCCTACAGCAAGTTTATTTGGAAGTAAGATCTGATAGAAACAGCACAAGCTGCCGTACATGGAGTTACAGCATTTGTTCTTCTGACTCAATACTGTCTGGCAACAGCTTTTGGGAGTTTCAGGCACAAGTTCTTGCTGGCTTTATCTGGAGATGCCAGGAATTGAATCTTGGGTGGGAGGGACTTTGATTTCAGAAATGTACCTCTGACCATCTGTGCTAAGAATCACATCTTTTTTTGTTTGTTTTAACTAATAAAAATATTTTGAGGAACTAAATACTAGAACTATAGGCCTTATACAGTAATAGAAAGCATGCCCTGGGCCAATTTAGTTTCCATTTCCCCATGATTTCTTCTAATGCTCTCCTAGTAATGTATGGATGAAGGAACCATGATGCCAACGATATGGCTCTTAAGAATATAACAAGAATGCTGGTGGATCAAAACAAAGGCCTGTTTAGATTAGCATCCCGTTTCACACAGTGGTCTACCAGATGTCTCTGGGTTGCCAAGAAGCAGGGCACGAAGCACTAGATCTAGGATCTGCCTCCCATTGACAGTAAAGGTCCTTCCACAAGAGAGCCGCTGCTTTCAGACAGGTCCCTCTGCCCAATCTGGGGAGACCATCCCTCCCCTAACAACAGGATCCTCCCATTCAGCAGGGTCTCCTGACTCTGTGTAGTATTTTCAGTAGGCCGGAGCAGCTGCTGTGGGTATGAGCAGGTAGGGAAGGCTGCTTCCATGAGACCAGTAGCTCATGCTCAAATGTGGATCTTACCCAAGAATAAGAGCCCTCAATCTGTTCTTTGGGAAGTGGCACTTTTATGCCTCATCTGTGTCCTGTAGGTTCTGTGCCATTGCTCCCCATGCATGGTTTTGTGATCCGTATGTTACTGGAATAGCACAGTAACTTGCTATGGGGAATCACACACTTTGTTCCAGCACAGCAGCTTTTTTATAGAATCATGGAATTGGAAGGGAACCTGAAGATCATCTAGTCTAACACTTCTGCTCAGTGCTGTCTCTGCACTGCATCCCGGACAGATGGTCTTACAGCAAGGTCCACACAGGGCAGCCATCTGCTGATTTCCCAGTCTGGATTCTGCCATGTGGTTTTTTTCTGGCTATACAAAGGAAAAATATTTTCTGACTAGCTATACAAAAGAAAAATATTACTGAGATAATGAGGTTTGCCCTTCTCCCATGCCATAGTTCTTTTGCTTGCTTGTTTTTAACAATAGAAATCTTACAAAGCTCTTTGCAGCACAGCTGACTTATAAGAAGGCATAACGTGTGGTTAAGCTGCTTTTAACTTTTACTATTTATTAAAAACATTAAATCAGGATAATAAAAAGTGTGGGGTGGGGGTTTTTTGCTTGTTTTTGGAAAAAGTAAAACCCCAGCACAGCTGTGGATAAGTGGCTATTGAAAAAAATCAACTGTACCAGCTGTTTCTGGGCAAATGGCTGGTGAGCCTGGAGGCGTTTCTTCAATATTCACGTTTCTTGAATTTTAAAAGACATTGTGCAAGCAGCAAGAAAGAGGAGTAAGAATTTTGAGGGTAAGGACAGAAAGCTAGACATTTTGCAAAGGAAATGCAAAGGTGCACAGTGAAGTTCAGAATGCACAGGAAAGTGACAGAACACTCCATGGAAGCGCAAAAAATCATGCAGTTTTAGGAATCAACGTTTCATCTTTTGCATTCATTTGCATTCGTACAAGGGCACCATGGTTGTAGACCCAAACAGGAGCATTGAGAGGTTTGTCAATAGAATGTTAGAGAGTGACAGCTTTCTAACTCCCACACCATTGCATAGGCTGCCTCTATGTTTTCAAATGTTTGTCTGCACACAAATAAGCTAAGGAAACCTGTTTTTATGTGTCCCTGGGAAAAAAAGGGACCCCCACCCCCTGCAATTCTCAAGGACTTAAACACTCTATGCCACAACATACTTAATTCCAAATGAATTTCTAGGTCTGCAGAATGGCAGGAGAGCAACAGCTTGGACACAGGAAGAATCAATGGAGAGCAGGATCAAACGAGCACTCTGTCCATCATCTGCTTTTTGAGCCAGTAACTATGTAGATGTGGAAACATTTTCAAGACAGAAAAAAAATGGTATGCAAGCCTATGAATGTGGCTGAGAGCCTGGTGCTTTTGCAAAACAAATGTACTTATTATGCTGTCAACCAAGTTTCCTCCACATATTTATAGCCCAATTACACCTAGTTGCCTGTGTATAGCTGTTTAATATCTCTTAAGCCTTGTTTCGGCTAACATGGCCATTTAACATGTTTCTGCTGTGTCAGCTTGCTATGGTGAGAAGGTACATGACTATGTACAGGAACAGGTTGGTTAAAAAACAAAGAAGTCACTGGTACCAGAAAACTGGAAAAAGCACCAAGGCAGCTCCCAAGCTGATAGCATAGTCTTTGCATAACTCCCTTTATTATTACTAAGTATAAAAAACGTAACTATAAAAATGGAGCTCATAGTCTTTCGGGAAGCTGAAGAATTCTGCAGATCTGAGAGGACTTGGGAAAAATGCCTTTGAACAGCAGGGAAGTGTGTTATTCTATCACTTTTTCCGCACAGTTCCTGACCGACAGGTTTTAAAGGATTGGATTCATATCTGTTCTGTGACTTGCAAGCTGACTGAGGGTGGAGCTTCCTACGATGTCACTGACTGTAGAGGAAGTTGTGATGGTGTTATGCTGGATGACTTGTTGCTGTGAACAGGCTGGGACAGGACTGGCCGGAGGACTGCTTTCAGGACCTGAAAAGAGAGCAAACAAAGGCTCATGTCCATGGAGGTGAGAGCACCTCCCCCTCCTTCGCTGAAGAGCAAAAACAGCATCAACAATATAAGAAGTTCATCACAGGAAATCTAGAATCCAAGCACTAAAATTAGGAAATACTGATTTAATAATAAGGAAAAAATATCAAAAGTAGGTGGTGGTATCCTTAGGGTTGACCTCAAGCTAACACTAGCAACCACATTTCTGTCTTAAGCTATTTTGCATCCAGATTACTATAACAATAGTGTAAGTAGTAAATCAGCCCAGTGCTACTTGCATGTACTGCAGTATCATCTTCTCCTTTGGTAGTATGTGTCATGAAGTCAGAGCTGCTCCAGCGAAATAATGAATGCATTGGCTCTCCTGTCCAGGTTGCCATGTCGCCTTCTCAGGCCCTTTAACTGGGCGCTGTGTGGTTTCAAGCTGGGAAAGGAAGGCAGTGCTAGTTCTCGAGACCCTAACATCAAATGATGCATGGAAAACTGGAAGTGCAGCCGAAGATGCCGCTCTGCCCCAGGGAATCCCCCGTCATGAGGCAGGGCCTCATCAGAAGAGAGCCTGACTCCTCAGAAGGGAGGAAATTAGCTGGTGCAGCAGCCGTCTTATCCAGACCTTCTTTGCGGCACATAGTAATCAAGGGCTATTTCACACATAATACGGATTTTAGCTTAAATCCCCATGTTTGTTTAATCCTAAACTTTGATTTGCCACCAAATGCACTCTCGCTTGAAGGCATAGCGCTTGAAAGCACAAGTCTGTCACAGTCACACTTCTACTGTTTTAGGTATATAATCAGTGTAGTTCTCAGATTGTAAAAGTGCTAATCTGGGCTGTGTCACTTCAGACTCTAGGCAGTGGCTCACATGCCTGAATGTTCTTCCAAGGAGAAAAATCCTATCCCATGGAAAGCAAGATGCCAAGAGCTAATACTGCATGCAGTTGGATTGCTTTTTTTTTAAGTTAATAAGTCATGTCCGATCCTTCATGACCCCAGGGACAACATTCCTCTAGGCTCTCCCGTCATCCACCATCCTTTGGAGTCCACCCAAGTCCACACCGACCACTGCAGTGACCCCTTCTAGCCACCTAAACCTCTGCCGTCCCCTTCTCCTTTTGCCTTCAATTGCTCCCAGTATTAGGGTCTTCTCCAGTGAGTCCTTCCTTCTCATTAGGTGGCCAAAGTTTCTAAAGAACAGTCAGGGTTTATTTCCTTTAAGATTGTCTGATTTGATTTCTTTGCAGTCCAAGGGACTCTCAGGAGTCTTCTCCAGCACCACAATTCAAAGGCCTCAATTCTTCAGTGCTCAGTTTTCCTTATGGTCCAACTCTCATAGCCATACATTACAACTGGAAAAACCATAGCTTTGACTTTATGAACTTTTGTTGGCAGGTGATGTCTTTGCTTTTTAGTATGCTGTTTAAATTTGCCATGGCTTTCCTCCCCAGGAGCAAGTGTTTTTTAATTTCTTGGCTGCAGTCACTGTCTGCAGTGATCTTGGAGCCCAAGAAAATAAAATCTGTCACTACCTCCATTTCCTCCCCATTTATTTAGGATTGCTTTATTATTATGTTTTAAGATACAGAAATATTCAATGAGGTTAGTCCCCAGATGCAACCTGAACCAGTACAGCCAAGATTTACGTTTACTAGTCCAATGACGACCACCAAAGACTGTTTTGTAAATTGACTGTTCAGAAATGGAGAGGTTAGATGAAAAAGGGAAGATGTGATTAGTACATAACCTCAGATAATATAAACATGTTACCTACTTACTTAGGTATCCTTGAGATTCTTTCTGCATGGCAGTTATTGGACAGTCTTTATGTGTTAACAACAACTGTTTCAGTTGTGCTACCTCATTTTTCAACATGGAAACCTCATTCTGGATGAAAAGAGAGAAATTTAACAGTTTTAAGAGTGTGCGTTTACATGAGTCTTATTGCAAGAAATTGGGTTGCACAGATAATCCTCCAGGGAACACCCCCTCCCCGATATACTGGAACAAATTCCTGTTCTAACATATGCCTGCAAAGTGTAGCCTGTGAGCTTTGCATCTGACATATCATTTTAAATTACAGTTGTAATAGGATTATTACCACAGCGCAAAAAAAGAAAGAAAAAAAAAACCCAGCAAGTGAGAAAGAATAATTATTTGCAGAATATTTAGCAACCTGATCACATGAGCATATTTGCACTGCTGCTCATCAGCAACAAAAACAAACAAACAACTCCCCCCCCTCCACACACACACACCTTTAGAATCTCAGCCTCAGAATGAATGGGAAGCTGCCAATTAGGCAGGAAAAAGCTCTTATAATAAATTTCTACCACACTTGCACTATATTCCTTTATAACTTTGAGACTTTAAATTCATGGTTTTAAATCCATGCACCTGCAAGAAAAAATACTCTCTCAAAAATGTATATTTTTGTAGAATAGTTTTTAAAGCATAAGAGTGAAAGCATTTACAGGAGGAAAAAGAAAGGGTATGCCATAAGGAGGAGGAGGAGAATGAAAAGCAATTTAGAAGACAAAATGCTGAAAATGTTCAAGCATAAATTACCTAGGCATGAAGGCAGTCAAAAAGGGAACTGAGGGAACGGGTGGGAGTCCCTCCCAAGTAAACCTGGACCATGAAGGGGCTCTGGCCCAGCTAAACGCTTCGCTGTAGAAGCTTCCTGACAACAGGCTCCATGCATGTGCAGAACACACATGCGTGATGAGCACAGACCAGGAAGAACTAGCAATGTGCTGTCCTTTCATGACACCCTGAGCTGCTTTGCTCAGCCTCAGCCTAGGTAGGTCTGGCCCTGTAATTAAGGAGGCCTTAAGGCAGCTGGACTCTTGTGTATACCTTATGTTCCATTTCATTTTCTTCTCCCATTCCATTCCATGTTACAATTTACAACTGTATATGATCTACTATTACATCCTAGAAAGAGTTCAGGATTGGGCCAAATATCTTATCAAATATCAACAAGCCCCAAGATTGCAAAATATGTTTAAAAAATGGCTTGCATCCAAACTTTTTTCAGGAGGTATTTTCCTTCATAGAAGGAAATCTGTTCAAAGATCAAGAAGATAACAGGGATGCCTATGCTTTTAACTGTTAAAAAATAAAAGAAATATGAAGAATACATTGGCTTGCCAGAAAATATATCTCTTGATCTGTATGAAGTAGGTTAGTAAAGTCAGACAGAATTAATCAGAAATGGAATAAGACATGGAATGGTGTCTAATAGAAATGATCGCCTTGAATAATGTCAGTACTATAATCTCAGAAGCTAATTCAGCCTTGCTATACATCATAGATTTAATCTATCCATTCATTCATTCAGCAAGGCTGTTGTGAATCAAACGCTGCATGTCCTTTTCTTGCACACTGATACATACAGTGTAGCATTAAATATAGATTTACAGCTGAACTCATCATGTGATGTCATACGGTATAGTCGGAATACATTTTGCTGCAGGAAAAATTAACTTCTCTAATTAAATTATACTTTGGGTGGCCACTTTGTGCGTTCTGATCCCAATTGGTGTCAATTAATTTGACAGACAAATTTTCTGGTTTACTTATTCATTACTTTTTAAAATATAAACTAATCATTACTGGCTCTGCAGAATATTTTTGCTTGTCATAGCAATAGCCCAGGGTGTTTAATAAATGGTATATCCAAGGAAAATCTATAGACATTTAATTCTTCCATTCCTTAAGGTCAATCACGAACTGACTTGTAGCCCAGTACAACTGCTAGTATACAGTGAAAGTAACAAAGCAGAAATCAGAGAAGTCCTTTGCTGTTATACCAAAGATTCATTCCACCTGGAAGTCCTTCTTGAAACATCCCAATATAATTAATGGGGTCACTGCTATCTTGCACTGATCCAATTCATTTCAATGAAGTATAGACAATAGAACTTGGCAATTCATTGTGCACTCAGTATCCAGGAAGTTACATATTGTTAAAGATTACAGAGTAATCCCATCTTTAATCTTTAAAAAATATTTAAAGATTCGAGATTCTGCATCAAGATTATGAGGCTGCTCTGATGTACAGAGCTGACAATGGAGGAGTTCACACATTCAGTTGCTAGGATGCCAGCAAACATAAATCTTTTTCTGGTGAATGCCTGCTCTTGAGTAAGAGAAATTGAAGAAAGTGGGGTCCCTCACTTCATGCTGGGTGAAAGAATTTTCCTACCCTCTTTCTACTTTCCCTGCGGAGTCCATAGGATGCGCTCTGGATGGGTGGGACAAGAAGGCATGTTTTGCGGGCCTCCCTCTCTATCCTTTTGCTTCCTCTCTCTCTATGGTGATGCTCTGGAGACCCACTGCTACCCTTTCACTTCTTTTCTCTCTATGATTTCATAAGTACAGGTTGTTTGTACCTTGGATGTTCATAACTTGGGGACTGCCTGTATCTGCAAAGGCTACAGTCACAGTGAACACTCACAAATGCTGCGGGGGTGCGCCAAGTTAAAGTGCACTATGTTGTGCGGACAGGACTAGTCTGGATAGCCCTGCCTCCTACTCAAGTGCAAATATGATGTGTGAGCAATACTTTTGAAAAGAACTAATGCTGTACAGGATTTGTGGACTCCTGCTTATTAGCTGCTGATTTCTAACACCGGCAGAGAAAAGGATACACAAAACCAACACAGTAGATGATCTTGCTAACTATAGAGAGGAGCAACAAAATATTCAGACACAAGAATTAGGGAATGTTTTTGGATACTCTCCAATATTTTTAGATAGCAAAGCAAACTTGAGTGTATTTATTTTCCTACCTTTCTATCACAAATGGTATTCAGGGAACCACTGGAAAGCTGATATGCCTTTTTCTGGCATTTTTCATGTATCCAGTCAACACATATGTGTGGGTGCGTGTGTTGGGCATGAGGTACATACAGCACTGCACTGGTAGCAATGTAAGGCCTGACTGTAGTTCTCAAAAAAGCTCTGTGCATACAACTATGCATTCAATGAGCTCTCTCTATGCAGCTGCAAACCACAGTAGATGTTGGTCCAGCCATCTGGAGTAGCCTGCCATATTTTTCTTTTGCAGTGTATAAGATATTTATGTCAACATGTCAACAAAAAGAATTCCTCCCAGCTGGTCCCTCAAATGCTACCTTTGCATAGAAATGAACAGTTTGAACTTATTTGGAAGTACTTTCAAACAAATGGCAAGCCACATCCTTTCCCAAGATACTCCATTCCACCCTGCTAACCTGGTTTTCTGTCCTGCCCCCCACCCTCCCACAACAGACCTCAAGCATTCGTTGGCCACTGAGCAGGTTCAGTCCACATTGGGCTGTTTGGGGAGTTTCCCTGCTGCACCTTAAGAGATTTATTTCCTGTTTTTGCAACTCTTGAGCTCACCTAAGCCAACAGATACTTTTTTTTTTTTTTTTACATGGTGCCATTTTGATTACATAAGGCTGGGCACTCTGAGATTCGCTATTAGAATTCTAAATTCACTGTTAGTATATAGCACAATCTTGGATATAAGTATTATTCCAATCAGAGCTAAGTTAACTGACTTAAATAATAAAGGCCATAGCAGATGATTTTTGGCAACTAAGTTAAAATGAAAAGGGGTTCTTCTTTCAACTTACTGCCCAGAGAGCTTTGAAACCATCCTGAGTGCGTTGGCTATTGGGAAGTACTGAAATGTAATAAATCAACTATCTCGAGATAGATACCCTATTCTTAATGAAAAAGACACGAGTTACCAAAATAAAGAAGGGCAGAGACAGTGATTACAGGGGGGGGGGGGGGGGGAGAGAGAGAGAGAGAGAGAGAGAGAGAGAGAGAATGAGAGAGGGGAGTTTCTCAATCTTTATATTTTGTCTCAGCTTATTTGGCCCAAATTAAATGGTATTCTCTGTCTGCCTCACACATGTACATATTCTCTCTGTTTGCATTCATAGTCTAATGTGTAGCAGCACCAGTTTAAGTCAAGAGCATCTTGGTGGCACACAGATGGCCAGTATGCAAACAGTGCCCCTGTGTGCTAGGCATGTAGACGGCCGCTCGCACCTGAAGTTGCATGTTTGTCTGGGTGAGTTCTTCTGCTTTCTTTTCCAGTGACATCACCCAGACCTTCCTCTTCTGTCTGCACCGGGTGGCAGCTGCTCGATTTCGTTCCAGAAATTTCCGCCGCCTCTCATCTGGATCTTCATCCACCACCCGCCTTCGGCGCCCCCCAGTGGGCTGAGCTGGCTGTATTGTCTGTGTGGGCTGCATTTGTTGGGCTGCTGCTGATACCTAATGAGAAATATGACTGATGTTAAGTAACTACTGAAGGGATGACACCATACTTGATGCTGGAATAATAAAAGGAAATGAACTGCAATTAAACATAAAAATACAACCAGGGTATGTGCTTTGAATGCAGAAATGTTGGCAAGATATGAGAATGGCAGGAGTTAAAAGACTTCACCAGATGCCCAAAATTACTCTTTGGCTAGCAGCCTGCATGGCCCAGGAGGATGCTTGGAATGGCCTTTTCAGCTGCAGCAGCAGGAGTAAGTTTTCTGTTTCTTTTTGCCCCATCGTATTAAAAATGTTTCATTTTATTTCAACAGCAGTAAAGAAAGCATTCAATTCAAGTGTAAAATGTCTAGATCACTCCAGTGACTAGTATTAATCATAAAATGGAAGGTGCTCTGGGACCTTTAATTTTATTCATAATTTAAAATTGTGTATTTTTCCTTGTACTAAACATAGGTCTTGTTTATGTGGACAGTTATCCCGAGGTATCCTGTTAATTTCCTTTAACTTGGATATATGAGCAGGAAATAAATCTAAGCTTGAAGCAAGCTAACAGCTAAGAAAGAAATAGTTAATGAAGGGGTCTCATTACTTCTTTCCTATTCTTGGAGAAAATATGGCTAATTCAAGCAAAGAAGAAAGTGTCCCAAATTGTGGTAGGATACTTGTGAAAATGAAGAGCAAATTTAACTTTCACAATAATTGAAGGGATATCACAAGACCTCAAAGACAAGTGAAAGTTTCTCAACCCATCTCAACCTCATTCATGTCACTGCACACAAAGCATTAAGAAGACTTCTAACCTATTTTTGTTGCTGGCATGTTAGGCTTGCATACACACAAAGAATAGAATGCAGTATTTTCAAGCAAGCAGTCTCTCAAATGCTTCCTGATGTGCTTTGTGTCATGAAGGATTTTTTTTATTCCTAAGAAATGTTATTTTATTTTTAAAAATAAACATACATGCATTCAAGATCTCTCCCTCCCTCCTTCTCTCTCTCTCTCACACACACACACACAATATAACACATCACTAAGGTTACTATGTTGGATCAAAATGGACTTAAGTTCCATTTATTTCAGTGAGTCTGCTCTAAATATGACTAAGTCTGGATCCAGTGTGCTAAGATATCATAGATAAGCATGTGGTAAAGATGTGTGTGTGTTTAATGTGTGTCTATCAGTATATCATAGCAAGGAAAGAAACAAAACCATCTGTTCTTCATTAGAATTTGATCAGAAGTTTTTAGGGCTTCCACTTAAAAAATAAATGGAAACCTTGCTGCCATAATGTCTGTGATTGTTATCATAGGCAATTTCAGTCATTTGAACCACCTGACTTGATGCCTGTGCATAAAATCAACCTTTTCATATAGCGCTTGAGCATCTTTCATCTGTGGGTTGTTTGCAATTGTTGACTGTGTGAGGCCCTTCTCCAAGGGCCTCCACAGAGGGAGGTGTGGAGGAATGCAACAAGGTGGAAGGCCTTCTTGGTGATGGCCCCATACTTGTGGAATGTGCTCCCCACTGAAATCCACCTGGCACCAATATTGCCATCCTGTGAGTTGTTAAGCCTCAAGCTTCTAAGTTAAGCCTCAAACTTTTTCTACTCTTACGTATTTGACAACATTTGATAAGGTTTTTAATAGCTGGTGGAATTGCTTACTTTTGATGGTTAAAACAGATTATATTTTTGTATATAAACAATGTTTTATATTATGTTATTATATTGTATATTTACAGCTTTAATTTTTGTAAACCACCCAAACAACTAAGCTGTTGGACAGTACAGGGAAGCAATACATGAAATTAGATGAATGAAATGAAGTGACAACTCCAGGTTGTGAAGAAGAGTAAATTAAATTAATCCCACATTTTATTTTTCTTGCTGGGTTCTATGAATTGGTCCTCAATATCTATCATCTCCCACTCGGCTTAAACAGGTTACGCTGAGTAATGCCAGAAACTCTCTAGAGAAGGAATATGTAAGCCACCTCCACAGCAACATACCTGAAAAGGAAAGGCCTCAAAGGTCTCTTTTAAACTCTCAGCCTAACCTCAAACATCAAAAGCAACACCTTCTGAGTCATCAAAGTTCTGTTGTTTACATTTGTGGACACCAACATCTTTTCACACGCCTTTCTGTTTTTTCTCTTTTTATTCAAGCCATAAATTCTGTGTCTAAGCTCTGCTTTTCTATTTTGCTTGTTCTTATATGTACAGAAGAACCCTTTCCATCCCTGAAGCTGTTTTGCCTTACATGAACAGAGTGCACAAGAAAAGAAAAGAAAAGAAAAGAAAAGAAAAGAAAAGAAAAGAAAAAAGAGGAGAGGGTTCAATCTGAAATTCTCAGTAGTTCTCAGGAGAATGTTACCTGGAAAGTTACAGCTATATCTCACATAATGATTTGAAGGCAACTGATAAAGTTGATTCTAAACTAAGCATGTCAGATCCTGATCAGTACTGTTTGGGAGACAACCTGAGAACCTAGTGCATGTTCTTTTCATCAGGATGCAAATAAAATATGTACAGTCAGCTGGGATCATTAAAAGAATCATGTCAGGGAAATTATAGTCTGAAGACTATTTAGATAAGTATCTCTTACTTATTTTGCAGTATATTTTCAGTCTGTGATTCCAAGACCCATGAAAAATGGGAGATAAATACTATTGTTAGTAGTATTTAATGCCTGTAGACCAAATCATCCTATAGGTTTCACTGTGGCTCAGTTCAGGTATGATGGCAACCCATGGTTTGTTGGGGATGAAATGAATGGAAAGAGATGAAATGAGCTTCAGATTCATATAAGTCATGATCAAACCTTATTTGATAGTCCGGTTTGTTAGTTAAATTACACTGGGAAGATATAACTAGTAATCCAGGTTTGAGATAACAACAGCTATCTCAAAGTCAAAAGTAAAAGTGGAAGTTTTCCATTCCTTCTTCTCATAGTTGAACAAGTGAAAGGAGGCGTATGTGCTTCTGAAGCTCCTTTTCATAACATTGTTATGCTTGAACTGTGCCAGAGTGTTACTAACACTTTGGAGAGAATCCATTTTGAATGCCTCTTTGTTATCCTATTGTGCAACAGACTTTTGTCAATAACAGCTAGGTGAAAATGTCTTATTTTCAGCCTCTTGTGCTCCTGTTGGATGACATGGAGAGAAGATGCCTCTTCAAGACTCTTGCACAAATAATTTGCCCAATCTGTTTCTTGCCTAATCTGTTTCAACGGTACATGTAGAAGAAAGAAGACCAATATAATTAAATGAACTGAGATTCTGATATGTAATGAAATAGTTATGAGATGTCTTCATTGTACCCTGGATGTTCTTGCATCTTAACCTGCACTGCAACCCAGCTCATGACTTGCTGGTACAATGTTTCATGTTCAGTCATAACATGCTGAATTCTACACAGATCTACCCGACCGACATTCTGAATCCAATGATATTATTGGACTTAGCAATTTCTTTTAGCTCAGGGGTAGATAGATCTAGTAACACTAAAGAACCAGTGTGGAGTACTGGTTTGAAAGTTGGACTGGGGTTCAAAAGTTCCAGTGGCTCCAGTGCCCACTTAGCCATGAAGCTCCCTGAGTAACTTTGGGCCAGTCAATCACTCTCAGTTTAACCTATCTCAAAGGCTTATTCTGAAGATAAAATGGAAGGCTGTGTCAGCTGATTTGGGCTGTCTGCAAGACAAAAATGATGTAGATATAATAATCAAATAAAATCTTTGCATTGTTTGAAATAGCTCAACAAAGGTTTCTAACTCCCTGAAACAATAGCATAATAAAGTAACTCTCCCCATCCAAATTATACCACTGAAAGATGGGTAGGGAAGTTACCTAGCAAAAAACTGTGGAAGAACTGAGACTTTGGTTCAGTTTTGCTACTAAACTATACACATTCGGAGTGTATGCCTCCCAGATGCTGTTGGGAAGCCACTGGATCACACCATGTGGTGACTAAATAGTTATTGTCTGCTGTGAAACATACAGATGCATTTTTTTATACAGATACTTCTATTGGGTCAGTTTTTGAAAAACAATGTCAGATGCAATATTGCCTATTATTTTGGATATATAATGCTTTTTGTTTGCTTGCAAGGATAATGTGGACAAGTTTGTGATAATCAAGCGGATAATCAACACAGAGAAACATATAACAGCAACCTAATTGGGTCAGACATCTTCTTACTGGCAATTTATCTGAAAAACATTTCATGATTAAAACAATTATACAAGCATATACCTGAAAAATGTGTGCAATATCTGAATCAGGCAAGCCAACACAAAGCAGAACATCTGTCACACAAAAAAGGAGAAACTAAATGACTGGGCTTTGCCTTGATCCCTGATCCAGTGTGTTCTTTCTGTTCTTTATAACCTAGTGCTACAGTTTTAGTCATTCATTTTAGCAACCCCATAATTCATTAGGCTCGGCATGGCTGTTGAAAAGTTTGAAATTTAATACAGGGGCATGGCAGAAAATAATCAAAATTATGGCAAAGAGGAGAACTTGGCTCCTAGCAATTCAGATCATGCTTTGGTTTTGACATGAACCTTGAAACTTAAGTATTTGGTTCAATAGAAAGAGTTGGTTAATAATTAGTAAAGTGTACCATAAGATTAATGTGTCTGCTGAAGCAGTCTGACCCCCCAAAGAGGCCAGTACTGAGGGGAATTATAGATGGGTTTGGAAAGTAATAACCTTATGTTTATTACTCACTCAAACCATCTTTTATCCCAGTCAATGCCCTCTTCAAAAAATGTCATTGCTTTTGTGCTCCCATGAGGATTTCAAACTGTTCTGTTGTCCAGGGAACTACCTGACCTGTAGATCTTAAAATTTCCATTTGTCCTCCAAGCAGCACTGCACAATATTTTGAACAAGTAACTCTTCAATATAGCTCCAAATTTATGTAATTCTACTTTAGTCAATGGGACTACCCTATCACAACTTAGTCTAGGCTGCAGCCAATATTTCTTCTGTCAAAATCCAGTGTGTGGTTGGATCCAGATTTAAGTTACACCTTGAGTAGACCCACTGAAGTCACTGGGGCTTAGAATGAATGTGACTGGCTTCAGTTCCTTTTATTTCAATGTATCTATTCAAAGTATGACTAAGTATGACTGTACCTATAGAACATAAGGTCAAGATACCCTGATAGGAGGAACAATTGTTATTGAATGGGCAATTGATGAACACTAACAGGTTATCCCTAAAGCTGCAGGTTACATTCATACAGATACAATTACACTGAAGTCAGTGAGATTTGCTTCTGTTTCATTGCTGTAATCCAGCAAATGCAAAAAGAGTTCAGGGCACGCATTGCTCTTCTTGATAGACTTCCATGTGTGCCCAGAATGATATATGAGGAGAGCTGGAAAAACTTTAGGGCTAAATGTATACTGCTTCTTACTAGACCGAGGCTCCATTCACAAAACAGAAGTGCTCTGCTCTCAGGTTTTACACTATTGAAAAGCTCTTTTAAGAGGTGGGAGAAATTATTCTAAGCTAATCCAAGTGATCCACACTTCCAATGAGTCTCCCAAAATGTGGATCAGAAAACAAAAGCAACCCTCCCCCTTGGCTCTCTGGATTAGTACCAATGCATTTTTGGTGGTTAATAAAAATAATCTCCACAGACTCTGTCCAGTTTCATTGTCTGGGTGCATAGCTTCTTTTGTTAAGTAATGACTATCCAACATATCCTTCCTTTACAATTTCTGGTGGGACAATTATTGCATTTCTAAGAAATTATATTTTCTGATCTATCCCTTGATTGTTTCTCCTTTTTCCTTTGATATTAGTAGTTATCTCCCAGTGCCAGAACTTCTAATTGGACCTTATGCTGTAACATGTAAACAACAATTGTTTTGAAAGTTTTCAAAATTTCAACTAAGACTCATAATATATGGAATATGTAATCTGTTTTACTTATTGTTACACCCATCAAACTACAGGCCTGAAGTGTTTTCATCTTGTATTTGGCCAGTGGGACTGATCAGGGATTCTGCTGGAGTACAATCCTTATCTGAGCTAACGGAGGTGGTCTCAGGTGTCAAGTTGTGATCCACCAGGCTTGGTTTTGGGGAATGTTAACACTCAGGCTGAGGACATCTTGGCTGGGGTGGCTCAGAAGTTCATGGCCTCCACCACAACCATGAGACTGTCCCAGCATGTCACCAGCCCATGTAACATCAGGGTGCACCACTGTACTTGGTCTCTTTGGCTGAACATAAGGAAATTGTTCTGAGGGTACAGACTTTGATTCAGTCCCCTGTGATGGTCAGATCAGTACCACTTGAGATTTAGATTGATGACAACTTTTGTATGATGACCTATGCCGAGGATATAACAGGAATACTACAGCCTTTTGGATATTCCTGGATCTTTTGGCAACGTCAGTGCCATCAACCACAGTAATCTGGGAGATTGCGTTTAGCATGGGGTTCTTCAGGGATGATTCTTCTATTTAACATCCACATGAAACTATGGAATGGGGTCATCTAGAGTTTGGAAGTGCATTGCTATCAGTATGCTTCTCTTTTTTTCCTCCTTTTCCCAGCTGCAATGTATCCTTATACCACAATTAACATCTGAGGGCTTCCTCCAACTGAAGCTACCAAGGGAGGCTCAAAGGTGGTGACAAAGGAGAGAGTCTTCTCCATGGCTGCACCCTTAGAGTCTTCTCCATGGCGTGCCAATTCTGCCATCCATTCAGTGACAGATTAAGACAGCCCTCTATGCTGAAGCCATTAAAAATCTATCTTGGTGGATGGGGATATCCATGTCTGCTTAAAAAAGAGAGGTCTATTTTGTATTACAAAGAGTTTTAATTATTAAATTGTTTTAGAGTTTTTAAATTGTTTTAAAATTTTGTATTAACTCTTTTAAATTGTGTTTTTTATTGTATTGTCATATTGTAAACTGGTAGCTTTAGCTATTTGGCAGAATAGAAGTTAAATATCTACTGCATCAACAACAAATTTTCACTGCATTGTCAAGAACAACCTTCATACAAACTTGCTTTCTTTTTCACATCCAACTTCAGCCATGTTTAAAGTTTACTCTTATACTGAGCTTGATTTAAACTGTAGGAATGAGGAGCAGCTGGCTAACTTTGATCCAGAAACAGCATTGTCTTGGTGAAGTTTAGCTCATTCAGATTTGATCTGCAGGCTGTTTTTCTATGACAGATTCCATAAAATGTTTTACAGCACTGGGCATGCAGGTTGCCATGGTAAATAAAAACAAATATATGATAAAATTATGTATTCAAACATCTGCAAAAAGCTGTAAATTTTACAACTAGATGTTTTAGTAGCTCCTCACTTTATGCTAATTTTGCTGGTGCAACAAACACATAACGATGTGCTGGGGAACCCAGTGGGAAACCCTGATGTAACTCCATAGCATTCTTTTCTGGTACATAAAATCTGAAGTTGTCCTGGGGTAAGCGCATGCCTTTAAAGTTCTTTACCCTGCAGATGTGATCCAAGTGGTACAAAGAGGCCTTCTGCATTTGTGAAAATATTCATTTACAAGCAAGCATGGAAACACACAGCTTGACAACTGTTAGAGTCATGTAGTGCAAAGCCCACTTTGATGTACACACATATATTTAAAATGTTTCTTATAAACTGAAGCGCATGTGGCAACATGTGCTTTACCCAAAGGACCTGAAAGATTTAGAATCAGCATAAAATACGACAAAAGCAAACACTTGCTTCTAACCCACACAGCCACATTTCAACTATACCTGTGCTTGCCCGCCCGTGTGCAGTGGCGGATGTGGCGAGGTTTGGTGATGCGCTGGGTGTGCATGCAGGTGTGAGTGAGAGTGGTGGTGTGGGTGGTTCTGCTGGTGATGCGACGGAGGATGAGAATGGTGGGCTGGATGCTGATGCTGGTGTGGGTATGGATGATGAGCCGGAAGCGTCTGATGCTGATGCGGATGCGAATGCATATGATGGTGAGCTGTCTGTTCCTGGCGGGAGTTCATCATTTCCATCATATGACCCATGGTGTTCATATTTCCATTCGACATGCCTGCAGGATGATGAGACAATGCTGCCTTCAACCTCTGCAACAAAGTAAAAAGAGTATTTAAAGTAAGTTACACCAGTCTGGGGACTGTGGGTTGCTAAGGGCTGTGGCAACTGTTTTCAATTTTGTTAAGTGATAGGAGGCACAGTCCAGCCAAGAGTTAAACACTGCCCAGTCCTATCAAGTTAAGTTAAGCAGATACTTAAATATCTGTCACTGACACCAATGGAACTTAAACATGCTTAGCTTTGACTGGAAAGACCTCTATGGCCCTTGAGGAGTTCTGTTGTTTGACTATAAATGAATACCCCCAAATAACCAGCTTGAGTAATTTTGAGATGGGCTTCAAATATTTCAGTTCTAAAGAAGAACATAATGTTTATTTTGTTATCTCAACAAGTTTCCAGTTTCATGCAGCGTCTGCTAGCATGATAAAGAAATAGAACAAACATCTCCACCAAAACACTGTCTTGTATTAGTTCTTTTGGATAGTCAAGGGAAGCAGTGAGCAAGGAACAAAAAGCTACTCTTTATGAATGACAAACCCTACTTCTCCCCACAGTTCTGGCTGTCATCCAGAGGGGAACATGTGTCTATCTCTGGGAATATACACATCCTCTAGGGAAAAATGAACAGGAGTACAGCACCAATAATCTGATGAAACAGAGGTGAACCTCAAAAAAGGGCTTTAAAAACTCATTGACTTAATGATTTTCTGAGGCAAACCAGATTATTTAAGCATTTTGAACAGAGCATTCTCTGAGGCAACTCAAAAATGAATTTCTGAAAATATAAATTCAATGTAATGAGACAGACTTCATGCAACCATATCAATAAGGTTCAGGTTATTTATAAATCGTAGGTTATTTAACCCACACTTAGCTGCGGTGTCCATGGGAACCAAACTGCATATGCAAACCCCACATGGGGTTGTCATGTTGTGTGAACCCAGTGCAAGTGGGTTCTGCAAGGGTTTACATGACACAACAATGCCTCATCAGGTTTGCATATTTCAAATGGCTGCATGTATCTGTGACCCAGAGTGGTCTGCTATGGGAACAGCCTCAATTGTGGAACTGAAGCACTGCATATCAAGCAGTGTCCGGTGGGACACCAATGCAAACACATGCTAGGATCCAAAGAACCACTACTGAAGGAGAAAGTGTACTTGAGTTCTTCTGTGAAACTCTGCACAAGTGCTAGTGGAATACTCCTTGTAGCACGGCACCACAATCTGTGGAAACTGCATTGCAACTAAGAAGCACTGCAGGTAAGAAAGATGGAACTGCGGCATATGAACTCCAGTGGACCTTAACAAGTTTGTCCTCACAAAACTGTTCTGGATTTGGAGGGGTTTTCCCCCCATGTAAAACTATTCTGTTTGTTTGGAAACAGCCCTTCAATAAGTAGATTATTTTTTCTGCTAGATGAAGACAATCTTCAGATCCAGGTCCTATTTACTTAGTTATGCTATTTTTCATTCCACCATTTGATTTTGAAATAAAACTCATAGTGTACTTAACATAGTGATAATGTCAACAATACAATAACAATACAATCAAAACAGAACAAGCAATATATTTTTAGAGGCTCTTAAAACCACACTAATAATAATTACAAGATTAAAATAAAAAGTATGCTAACTGCTTCTGTTATTATGTACTCCACAAAATCTTCAACTGTGTATAAATGAGCAACAACATAAAGATTTATTTGTACCAGTTCTTAAAAACAAGAGGTTGACACTTTCAGTTCCTTATAAAGATTGCCACAAGGGAAGAAGGATTTAACACATCCAATTCCTTGAATGTATTTTGAGAAGGCCTGCTGAGAAAAACATTTCACACACTTTTCATTTTGTTTTGTTTTAATTATCTTCAGAATATTTTGATCTCTTTTTGTTTATACTGAGGTCCTACTAGACACCCTTAGAGTATCTTCTTCTCCCATCCCAAATGGCATAGTGTGACAACATAAAATCCAATAGTGACTGAGTTCAGATAATCAATCCACAGTCAATCATAGACAACTCATGAAGGGAACCCATGGTTTACTGTTGGTTTGTAAATGCTGGCTTGTTCATCAAAGTTTGTTATATTGGTTGGGTTCATACAGCACAATAACTCATGTGGCAACAAACACCCATGGTTTCATGACAATCCACACTCAGTTCATGAGTATGGGTTATGTTGTCTGAACCCAGTCTGCTTGTTTGTTTGTATTTTCAGTTTATTTATCCATTTGTTTTCAACTGCCTCTGTTGCAGCCCATCAAAGTGCACTGAGCGATGGATTCATGCAATAGGTAATTTGGAACAATTCCCAAATACATTATTAAAACTCCAACAGTTTTCCTGCACTTTCTTGAGCCTCATCCCTGATTCATTGAAAAATTCCCTTTGGACAAGCTGTTGAAGCATGAGGAAGAAGGAAGCACTTATCACTGAATCAGTGGAGGTTCTTCATGAGACTTCAGAAACTGAAGAATATTTTCCAGTTTCAGAACATAAGAGATGGAACTTATGTTATCACAGCTAACATCACACAAGCAGCACCACTCTGTTTTCATCTGGCTAACAGGCTAATTGTTGGCATTAAGTCAAATGTTGTGAAAAAACCTGAAATACTTGCTGAAGGAATCAAACACTCCATACAATTTTCAATCCAAGGATGCCCTCATTGTTACTTCCCTTTTTGGGTTTTCAGTCTCAACATAGGTGAAACACATGTGAACATCTGTAGGTACAGCTCTGCTTTCACTTAACTAACTGCAGAAGAATCCATCTTCATTGTAATGAAGTGGTAACCAAGTTACCAAAGTAGTTTTTAAAAATTTACAGCTAATGCCTTTTCAGAAAGAGATCTAGAATGTTCTTTTTCAAATTATTCAACTGTTTCATTTCAGCTCACATAAACAAGTGAAGTCAAATGTCATTCTGTTCAGTTTTATTGTGTACATTTTATGAAATAATTTCTCTGCACAATGCTTTCAATTTGAAGAATTTACTGCAAGCATACAAAGCCTCTTACTCTCAGCCAGTATGACACAAAATACAGGATACGTGTGTTCAGAAACATTACACATGGATCTTACTCTGTAAATAACTTTTATATTTTTCCTTTTCTGCTTAAATCACTGAAGTTCAAAAGCCTGCATTTTTTCAACCTCAAGGTATTGCCTTAGCCACTTGTATGTCCCATATTTTTGCCTAACAACCATTCAAAAATGTGCCAAACAACCAGTTACACAGAAAAACATTTTACCTCTAGCCAGGAACTCTTGGTACAAAGGAATTGTTCCTGAATTGCTTCTTGACTATGGTTACCACTACATAACTCTGATTAATACATTGATCCACAGAACTTTATTAAATGTTTCTGCTTAGAAAGCTTGAATCTGGACTTATTCGGAAAAGACAAACATGGAAGGGTGGTAGCCAATGGGACTGGAGGTGTAAAGGAGGTAAGGCGAAGATGCGTCTTCAGTCAGGAAAAGCTTTGCTTGTAAAGTGGGCTGAAGAGATTAAATAGGATGTTTCTTTTGTTCAGGGATGTGGCATAACCCTCTTCTGTTCAGAAAACTGATGATGATGATGGTCCAGATAAGAATTTTCCTACAATCTAATTTCGTAGCAACTCTCCTTTTTTTCCCATAGATACAGCTCAGGAATCTGATGCAAGGAAAATATATGGAGATTTTCACCAACTCTGATTAAGGTATTGCATTTGTTAAAATCGAACATCAATCTAGAATCTCACCCCACTCCCAGCATTTATTGAGACCAACATGGGCTGGACTATTCTACTTGGAAAGGACTTTTCATATGGTATTGTGGCCATTTAAATCAATGGGACAGATTAGCTGAGCTGGACCAAGTCTAAATATCCGTCCTTTTTACCTTTGTACCAGGTATCCAATTTGCATCAAGAAAAATTCCCATTAGCTCAGCCCAATCATGAGGCTGCTGTGTGGACACCCTTTGAGCCAACAATCCTTTAGCTCCAAAAAGCCAATAAAGAAATCTAGTGCTTTTACTTTGGCCGTGTCCACAAATCAGGATACCTGTTCCAAATCAACTCTCTGAATGAAGGAAGCATCATGGCCGTAAAAAAGAGTGAAACAAACAACTTCACCAAGACATTCTAATTCATTCTTACCTCCATTATAAAAACAAGAACAGATTAGGCTTTGCTGGCCATTTTCCTTGCCATATCAAAATATGGAGCCTCTTCTGCTAATTTTTAAACATAATCATTCTTTAACAACGGACAGTAGTAGCTGATGAAATGCACCAAAGAAAGATACAGGAAAACACACCAATGTAAGTCTTTTTCAAGTACGGCATTATTTTTCAAAGTAGAATCTACTGAATGAAATGGGTTGGCCAACTACCATTATTTTGGTAAAGGGCCAGTATCATGTTATATTAAGAGTGTTTATTCAGTCCAAATATAAAACTCCCACAGACTCCTATTTGCCAGAAATTTTATAAATGGTGACTATTAGTCTCTACATGTGCCCACGCACTATTTGTCCAAATGATTCTGCTTTGATGATGAAGTGCACCATTTGCCATTATAAATGGGATATTTCTCAAACTCTCCCCCCTCCCTGTTTCCCTGAAGTGTCAGGAATGAAAAAGATCTTAATGTGAGAAGGAACGCCCTGCCCAAAACGCACACGCACAACTATTAAATATTGTGACTTTTACTCTCAGAAGAATACATTATTCTGTTTTCTTTCCACAGACCCTTCAACCACATCTACTTTTTTGAGATTGCAAATCAAGAAAGGCAGTGAGAAGCTTGACATGCAGCTGGTTTCTGTCAATAAGGGTCATTTCTATTTGGTCTGTATACTTTACAAGCTCCCTGTTCACTTCTCCCAAGGGAAGGGTGGGCCAGCTGCCCTGGATCCAAATCCTGGTAAGAAACCAGCTATCTACCTCATCATGTCCCAGAGCAGCAACAGCAATTGCCCAACTCAGTTTCTCCTTAACTTCATGCTTAGATCAGCTCTGTACTGACAGGAGTGTTG